CCCCATCCCTACATCTACCTGTGTGTACAGGTAATAGGTGCTAATGATTAAAACAACACCCTGCCATTACCAGGGCAGATTCTCCACCCAGCTAACAGTTTTCCCCTGCCCCAGGTAATCAGAGGACAGACCTTCGTCTCTTTCTATTGAAGTAATAATTACTGCTTCAGTGACCTCGCCAGGTTTAATCAACAGTTCAAATAATTTCAACAGTTTTATAAATCCATCATTTTGTATTGTATAGAATAAGATCAATCAATTATTAAATAACATATTGATTCATTGCATGTTTACAAAAATTTATGTTTCTGAGGTAAATGATCAAATTACCTCTTTTTCTCCAATTTTCCCACTGATATCATAATAAAATTGAGGGGGGATACAATTCCTATGGGGGGGATACTTTTCCTATGGTCATTTATTGTATCCGGATACTTATCCTATGGCCAGTTTTGGTATCCTGGTACTTATCCCATGGGGGATACAAATCTCACATGACACCGGTACTTACTATGAAAATAAATGCCAGAGTTGGACTACCAGTTAGTATTGTCAAAATCTGTCATGGCTGAGTACTCTACATGTATATATGAAATTAAACCCCTGCATATATAAACCCATATAATGTTCATATGTATTTTTCAATTGCATTGCTGGTATGGATATTGATTTTTTCTTCTCATTGGCAAGACACAACTTATGGTTTGTAGGGTCATAGATAGATAGTTCATTAGTTAGTTTATCATATTTACAATCCTACAACCCTGTACAACTACTCAAGTTTCCTTTATCATTTAAAGTTTACTGGTTCAGAACAGATAATCGCAAGATTGGGAAACAAAGTGGCATCAAATTTCCAAATTTGTGAGGGTGTAAGGGAAGCTTTTGAATTTTAAAGTTTTAACACATTGAAGCTGCAATGGTCCACCAGGATTATAGTTGACAATACTTTATGCTCTTGTTTATAATTTAAATATCAATTTTTAAATATTTATTTTTAGAGGCAGGCACATAAAGGTGTGCGCTATTTAGGTACAAACTGGTATTTATAAAACAAACAATATTGTCTCTGTAAAGGAGCTATTTGCATTATATTGCCTTCTTGCTAATATAATATAAGCTGATGACTAAAGTAAATATTAAGTACAGTAAACCTCCAATTACTTTGAATCAGCAGGAAAGTCGTGGTCAATATTTTGTATCATAACCACAAGCATTAAATTACATTTTTTCTTGTTAGGGTTTAAAATTAACAGTCTTAGTCATTATCTTTTGATAACTAATATATACACATTAACAGATATACAGTAATCATGAAGTTCAAGCTTTCATTTTTAGGAGTTCCAGCCAAGAATTTAGTTATATTCAAAAATCCAAAGCATCCGTTTTGCATTTATAATATGTATAGCATATAAAAACATATCGAGTCTTAGTTAAAAAGTGTGAATCAAAACAACAAAAAAGCATGGGTTTTTTTCATGAAAAAGATAGATTATGAAAACTTGTAATTTACATTAAAACCGTCATGCTTGAAACATTGAAAAAAGTGGGGAAAATTACATTCTTTCCATGTAAAATGATACCTTTAGCTAGCTATATATGCCTCATTGAGGTATTATATTTGAGTAATAACTTTATGGTTCATTTGTTTTTCCTCCTTACAACACATTCCTGGTTGTTTTGAACTAAAACATAAACTCTGAATCAGATCAAGTTTTAAGTTGGTATTTCCTATATATATGAGTGGCCAATATACATTAAAAACTTCCTGCTAGATTGTAATCTCAAGCTTATTTTACAGATTTATACTGTATAATCAGCAAAAAACGGATAAAAAACCATGGGAGAGACCAATTTTCATCATTTCTTTTAAGGTTTTTTTTACTAGTTAATATTTTCTATAGTTTTCACATAGATACACACAAGTTATCTCCCTTTATTTTGTTATATTTTTTTATCGAAATTAGTCATACCGATAAAGTATCTTTCCGGTGCTCAAGGATTTCAGTTGACTCTGGAAGTTAGCAATTTTAGATGTCAAAATCTTTTTTCCCTTAAATATGAATATTCAAAATGCATGTTAAATAGACATTTTCTTTAAAATACAAGAGTCCAAGCTTATCTTGGGGAGTCAAATAGATACACTAAAGGGTCTATTCAAAGCCCTGCTATGAATAATATTTTTGAAAGTGAGATTTATTAGAAGTGATATCTTTCAATTTCTTATTTTTTTTTAATTTTCTGTTTAGACTCAAATGAAGCAGTGGTCCATATTCTGGTGCTATGCATAACTGATACTGTTTTTGAAATATATTTCATTGATAATAACAGACAATTGAATTTTTTTCCCCCTTTGGCTTCAGAACTTTCAACATGACTGGAAGTTCTTGTGGAACAGCCATACTTTCAACAATATTTAGAAACATTGAAATTGGATTGGGAAATCAAAAGAAAGAAAATTTACTGAATAATTGATTATTTAGCTACTTACAAAATCAGTATGTTATTCATATTGTACGAGATATGGACTTTGGGTAGTGAAAGTAAACACTTCAGTTTATGTCTGTGAGGACGTTGATTAAATGAGACAAAAACAAATAATTATCACTATTTTACTCAAGTACACACAGAAATTTAAAAATAATAAGAATTGGATACAATAAAAAAAACATGAAACAGTATTTTTTTATATTTGCCACTACTCCTCATCGCCTGCTATTTAACAAAAACATATGACTGTAATTTAATGTAGCCTGGTTCATGACATTTTTACATGCAATACTTAAAAGTATTATGTCCTGATGGTATTCATGTGAGTTTTCGTCATTCGAATGTGAATGTATTGCCATTCAAAAATGTTGTAGATGCAAAAGCAAACATCACAGTAAACATAGCGTGGGCTTTAAACAAATGTCACAGATACTATATATAGACATACCGTTGTTCATAATTTGACTCGGGTAAAGCTCAAGGAAGTAATTGCAAACTAATAACTGCCAATAAACGACTTAATAACGTGCAGCACGTTAGTTTTTAATTTCGCTTTAATTCGTTTATTCACGGAATTAGATTAGTTATCTAAGTCCGTGGTTTATTCAAAAATTTCGCCTTAAGGGCTCAGAAACTGGTAACTAAATCATTGTTAGACTGATGTACTAGGCTGCCGTTACTGGCGATTATAAGTTCTGTGTATATTGCGGTTATGTTACATTTTGTAAAATTAGAAACCACAATGGAAGCAGACAACAATATGATCGATATCGAAGTCTATCTATGTCATCTGTCAACTGACCCATCACATGGTCAAACTGGCATGGTGCAATATGTCATACTATATAGTAGTATGATACAGAGGGACACTTGTCCGACAACTCATGATCAGTTATTGACGTGTACGCGGCTACACCCGCCTCGCAACCTGACTGTTTGCGGAAATTAAAAACAAATATGGGCTACACGTGTTAACTCACAGATAAGAATAGATACAGATACACCGTCCATGAGGACAGATAACGTGAATACTTACCCGTTGCTTGATAAACGTTAATCGTAAGCTAAGAGTCCTATTTTCACACTTCATGCCAAACTGGCTTCCGGGTTTACATAATACGGAGTAAATAAAACATTGTGATTTGATTGGTCGAAAATTATTAGAATATTTTTTCCCGCACTTAGTTCAAAAGTTGACAAATGTTTATATACCGATACATACTCTCGAAATTGAATAAATGGTATGTGGATTTTGGAGAATTCAAAAGATCTTTTTATCAATCTGGATTGAACATCTTGTCAAAAATGTGTCCGCATTCAAAACTTTTGACTTTTCGATTGAGTACACTATATTTTCTCATACCAAAATGAATGTGAGAACTTCCTGTTTAAAGAAAGGCAAACGGCGATATTAGATCTAAGTATATAATTTATTTAGGAGCGTGTTTTTTGAGAGAGAAAAAAAATGTCGAAATGAAATCAACTGCCAAAAAAGGACGAAATTTTGAGAACGGGTGTAAAGTTCCTGGTTAGAAATATCATTGCTGAGTTCGTCGGCAAGATTTTCCAGCTGGTTGTAGGCTTTATGAGGGAAAAACTGTGTTCCTCTGCCGGCCGATTTAATTTTAAAAGTTTTCATATTCACTGAATTTATCGACGAGCTTATCAGGACTGGGAACACAAATCTGGCAAAGCCTTTCAGATTCACATTCAGATGTATCGACGATGTGCTGTCTTTGTATAACAAGACTTTTATTGACAACATATCGGTTGTGTAATTACCCTCCTGGAACTTAATAAAGGGTACTACGGACTCTTAGTACCCATTCTTCTTCTTAATTTTGAATTTGCTTTCCTCGATATTTACTTAAAACTTCATCAACAGGGCCAGTATTCATGAAACCCTTCTCATTCTCAAGCATGGATTCTGTGCTCAAACCCACTTTCTTGTTACTCACTTAAATCATGCCAAACGATCAAAATGTCAAATGTAAACATTAAAAACAGTATTCAGGTTCAAGTCTCTTCAAAAACTTTCCAAATCTTTTGCAAAATAAGACTGTTTATGAATTTATAACCAGAACAAGAAATTAAGCTTGAGCACAAAATCCATCTTGAGCATAAGAACCGTTTCATGAATACGGGCCCTGAACGGCTTACTACTAAGCTGAACGAAAAGCGGGACAATTTTGATTTCAAATAATGAACTATTCCTTTCTTGATATTCCCCTACCTATAGTGCTGTTATGTTGCAGTTGATTTGGTATTTCAAAGCTTGCTCCAAATATCATGACTTCGTTGATCGACTGCAGACAGACAATATACAACACAATGACGACGGACAATTTACATGGGATGTGTCGGCGTTGAAGCAGAAAACGCTTACCCTTCCTAAACGCCTGGTCTTTTTCTCCTTACATTTGTTTCATGGTCTCCATTTAATCTTTTCTTTGTTCATAATTTGCAATATTTTAAAACGAATTTGAGTGCGGATTACGGTTTCGCTGACACTTCGATATCCTGTACATGTTTATCCCGACAGATGATTACTACAAGGAGAGTGGTCGACCCTTAACCGCCGGTAGGAACAAGATGAAAGAGGGTGGCCGGCCTAATGAAACCTCCGGACTAACCGGATAGCCTGTTGGATCTCTCCGACAGGCACCACGAGCCTCACGATAGTCCCCCAACAAAGTACATGGAATAATCATAACTTATTCAAAAATCTTACCCTTGGGTTTGAGATTTCTCTGTCAACAACACACAGGAGTGATACATTCTGATCGTGTTAGATGAAACACTCATTTCGGGAGATTTACCTCCCTTGGGCTGCGCGCAATAAGTCATGAGCGCCCTCTTGTTATCCTCCTGATCGTCAGTCGAGCAATACCACTTATACTATTTATAGATTCAAGAGCTGAGAGCTGGGTCAGACATCCTTCGTAGTGATTCAAGACCGAGACATGAATCACACTACATTTGTTGTCGACGGATAATATTAGACTGTAAATTAAGGATAAAATACATGTTTAGCCGAAGGCTAATCTGCCACATGCATGGTCCTAATATTAGTAAAATACACGTGTTAGTTAAAATAACATTTTTAACAATCAATATATATACATACATATACACATGATTATCGTGCTAGTAAAATGCATGTGCTAGCTAAAAGTTACATATATATATTGACGGAATTGACATATATAAAGTTAACCACAGAATGCATAAAGTTTCATGCAAAGGTATTTCATCAACTAAATGGCATGTGCCTAACAATAAAAATTGACATTGTTATACACTAATATAGCATATTCTAAAATATTTATATAATTCAGATGAGAAGTCTATTTAGAAAGTAACAAGTTTTGGTTACATGGAGAAACAAATTAAAATCAAAGACATTGATATACAATATTTAGTAAGTTTTCGTTTGAAAGTGGTGAAATTGTATTTTCTTTAGGTCACTGGGTAAAACATTCCAGTCGTTAATACTGTCAATAAGGAAGTGTCTGGAATAAAAAAAAAATCAGTTCTAAGTTTTGACACTTTGAAATTGTTTTCAATAGCATATCTTGTATTCCTACAATGACCATCTCGCACTGGAGACACACGACTTGATACATTTATATAGCATGTGTCAATCGGCATCCATCTAAGGAATTCAAACATTTGCCTAGAAGGTGTGTCAAATTTCACATCTGAAATTAGTCTAGCTGCTTGCTTCTGAGTCTTTAGCAGCTTGCCCATTTTGGCGGTGCACCCTGACCATACCGTACTGCAATACATATACGTCTCTATAACCCTAACCTTTGCCTTATTCTAGATAAAACAGATGTAACAAAACTTCCCCATGTCAATCCACTATCAATATGTACACCAACCAGTTTCCCACTGCATACTTGTTCAAGGGGTTCAATTCTTAATTTTAAAAAGTTTCTTTTTTGCTTTTGTTTTGAGGCAATGCACATACATTTTGTTTTGAGGCAATGCACATACATTTTGTTTTGAGGCAATACACATACATTTTGTTTTAAAGCAATGTACATACATTTTGTTTTGAGGCAATACACATACATTTTGTTTAGAGGCAATGCACATACATTTTGTTTTAGGCAATGCACATACATTTTGTTTTAGGCAATGCACATACATTTTGTTTTAGGCAATGCACATACATTTTGTTTTGAGGCAATACACATACATTTTGTTTTGAGGCAATGCACATACATTTTGTTATGAGGCAATGCACATACATTTTGTTTGAGGCAATGCACATACATTTTGTTTTGAGGCAATACACATACAATTTGTTTTGAGGCAATGTACATACATTTTGTTTTGAGGCAATCCACATACATTTTGTTTTGAGGCAATACACATACATTTTGTTTAGAGGCAATACACATACATTTTGTTTTGAGGCAATGTACATACATTTTGTTTTGAGGCAATACACATGCATTTTGTTTAGAGGCAATGCACATACATTTTGTTTTGAGGCAATGCACATACATGTTGTTATGAGGCAATGCACATACATTTTGTTTGGGGCAATGCACATACATTTTGTTTTGAGGCAATACACATACAATTTGTTTTGAGGCAATGTACATACATTTTGTTTTGAGGCAATACACATACATTTTGTTTAGAGGCAATGCACATACATTTTGTTTAGAGGCAATGCACATACATTTTGTTTAGAGGCAATGCACATACATTTTGTTTAGAGGCAATGCACATACATTTTGTTTAGAGGCAATGCACATACATTTTGTTTTGAGGCAATACAAATACATTTTGTTTTGAGGCAATACACATACATTTTGTTTAGAGGCAATACACATACATTTTGTTTTGAGGCAATACACATACAATTTGTTTTGAGGCAATGTACATACATTTTGTTTTGAGGCAATCCACATACATTTTGTTTTGAGGCAATACACATACATTTTGTTTAGAGGCAATACACATACATTTTGTTTTGAGGCAATACAAATACATTTTGTTTTGAGGCAATACACATACATTTTGTTTTTAGGCAATACACATACATTTTGTTTTGAGGCAATACACATACATTTTGTTTTGAGGCAATACACATACATTTTGTTTTGAGGCAATACACATACATTTTGTTTTGAGGCAATACACATACATTTTGTTTTGAGGCAATACACATACATTTTGTTTTGAGGCAATACACATACATTTTGTTTTGAGGCAATACACATACATTTTGTTTTGAGGCAATACACATACATTTTGTTTTGAGGCAATACACATACATTTTGTTTTGAGGCAATACACATACATTTTGTTTTGAGGCAATACACATACATTTTGTTTTGAGGCAATACACATACATTTTGTTTTGAGGCAATACACATACATTTTGTTTTGAGGCAATACACATACATTTTGTTTTGAGGCAATACACATACATTTTGTTTTGAGGCAATACACATACATTTTGTTTTGAGGCAATACACATACATTTTGTTTTGAGGCAATACACATACATTTTGTTTTGAGGCAATACACATACATTTTGTTTTGAGGCAATACACATACATTTTGTTTTGAGGCAATACACATACATTTTGTTTTGAGGCAATACACATACATTTTGTTTTGAGGCAATACACATACATTTTGTTTTGAGGCAATACACATACATTTTGTTTTGAGGCAATACACATACATTTTGTTTTGAGGCAATACACATACATTTTGTTTTGAGGCAATACACATACATTTTGTTTTGAGGCAATACACATACATTTTGTTTTGAGGCAATACACATACATTTTGTTTTGAGGCAATACACATACATTTTGTTTTGAGGCAATACACATACATTTTGTTTTGAGGCAATACACATACATTTTGTTTTGAGGCAATACACATACATTTTGTTTTGAGGCAATACACATACATTTTGTTTTGAGGCAATACACATACATTTTGTTTTGAGGCAATACACATACATTTTGTTTTGAGGCAATACACATACATTTTGTTTTGAGGCAATACACATACATTTTGTTTTGAGGCAATACACATACATTTTGTTTTGAGGCAATACACATACATTTTGTT